GCGGATTGCTACAAGTTCTTCAAATACCTATAGAATGATAGGTTTCTTTTTAGTGAGTGTAAGACACGTAAATACACCAGTTTGATTTACGAGATGGTTGTTGTAAGTTACTTATATTAATCTTTTTAATCAAAACATGTACTAACTTTTGCTTTATCTGAGTCTTCAAAATCTTTGGAAGACCTCTCCTCATAGCGGCAACGGTTGTCTTGGGAAAAAACTGCTTTTTAGCAATGTATAAGGAACATGATCCTTTATCGTTAAAACGGGTGTTTATTCTCGACCTCAGGGTTATGGACTGTAGCGAAATAGCATGTGTTCTGGCTTCTATTTTATCTATCATCTCATCTGTTAACATCTCTCTCATTGGCTTTCGATTCTCTGGATACTTGGACAAAACATCCCAAAATCGTTTGTATATTCCACTCTCTTTATTCTACATATACATAGATAAATACATATATATGGTATATTTCTCTCTTGAAGGTGAAAAAAATTAGTATGTTTACTACAACAGTACTTCTTTAAATACAGGGTTTCTAAAATAATACAAAAGAATTATAATCTCAGACACCGAAATCTACAAGTCCACTTATCTTAGGCCTAACAACATTAGTTGAGCCTTTATTAAATACTGCCTATATTCGATAAAGAGATAATATAGCACTATACTTTGTGTACGTTATTTGTTTTGGTTTAACTAGGGATAAACATTACCGTACTTAATATTACACAGTCCTGCCAATTTAAACTTCATAAAATTTGTTTGGGTTTTAATAACGGATTTTCCATAATTCAGCTATGCAGATTTCGAAAATAATATACACTTTTTTTCTATCACGTAAGGATTTTTTACAAAACGGAAAGAAAAAATTCTTACTTACATCAAAATATTATTTCGTTTACCACAGTGAACAATTTTTTGTTATTATGTTTGTTAACAAAAATATAACGAAACTGAAGAAAATGGAAGAACATTGATGTCAAACGAATATACATCCTCATTCATCCTAGTTTTTGTGTGTGAAATCAACGTCTTTTAGTTTCAAAACTACGTGTTGTGGTCTTTCTTTTATGTATTGCGTTATAACGTTTTGTGATCTGTACGTGATGGAGAAAAATGGGCATCATTCCAACATTTCAAAACAATAAAACCATCGCAGTCCTGTGTTGTCAATAAATAAACTTAAAATGTTATTCTACGTCCTAACGTTAGACCTTTTAAAAACTTTGATAAACTTTCAATATGTTGTAGTACAAAATGTCTACTAAAGTTTTGTTGGCATCCGTGGAAATGAAGTGTGCGCGCATGCTCATTTATATGCGCGCGCATTCTTAAGACAGACAAAACTGAATATTATTATAATAGACGTATATATATATATATATATATATACATGATTACACTGTAGAGTCCATTGAAGTTTATCAAACTACAGTTATTGCAAATTCATTGAATCAAGAACACAGAAGAAATCTACTCATTAAGGCAACTAGAGTGGAACATGTGTTTTATTTATAGTGAATCGAATTCAGACTAAGTGGTGTAGCCAAGGCCGTTCTGGCCGGGCACGTGCCCGGCCACTGCCTGAGCGAGCAATCATAAATTATCGACCTGTAAAGGATTGAAACGCGAAACAATCTAGTTCGCTGCAATAAGTGTTGCACGGGCTGAAGGACTCACTCGTTAGTACGTAATTAATGGTGTCATGTTGTTTGTAAGATTAAATGTTCCCCGAGCACAGAGCGGGCAACATGACGAATTGCTTATAAAATACTGTTGTTTTGGTGTAGTTACATACAATGCCAAAACGGTATACATTTCTTAATTTCACTGGACCACAGATTCGGATAGGTGTAAGACGGCCAGACTACAGTGGTCCTCAATGTGAGCATGACCTTGGTGGCTCCGGGCAACAATTACGTCTTTTCTATGTCATGTTTGGAATACACTTGTTCCAGTGTCATTGATGTCTGAAAACGAGATATCTTAGCACGAATTCAGTAAAATTCAAATGGAAATATGAGGCTTAGAGGACTAGAATAGTTATATATAAATCATGAACTAATTTCAAGATACAATCAAAATATGCCACCCAGTGGCACAGCGGCGTGTCTGCGGACTTACAACGCTGGAAACCGGGTTTCCATACCCGAAGTGGACAGAGCCCAGAAAGCCCCTTTGTATAGCTTTGTGCTTAAATGCGAACAAACAAAATATTCATAATACCGTGATATTGAACAACAAGGCAAATAAGTAGATACCAAATATAGCACAAACTAGAAATAAAATACTAATATATATGTTAGTTTCTCTGCTAATCGTCTCCACACAAGGGACGTTTTAAAACAACTCGGTATAAAACTACAAGTAAAAACTTTGCGTATAACGTAACACGATATTATAATGGTTAACTCAGATTATACTAACTAGAAATGTTGTAAACCAAAAAAGTAAAAAAAAATTAGAAAATTCGTTAGTAATTCAAGCTTGGTTATTCAGTTTTTAGCCCTGACATATTTCTACTCAAAATACCTAATGCTTAGCGTGTTCAAACTGTGAATAAAAGGATTCACGGTTCGCCACTCGTTGCCGCAAACACGTGCACCGCACTTTGGAACAATAGGTGCTGTGGGCACTCTATACGAGTGACTGTCAGTTCCTACAGTTCGGCCAGGCAACAGTAGCTCAAGCGTTGACAGGGGGTGCTGTTGACTAATCTTAAACATAAACAGCATATTTTTTTGTTTTTGTATTGTTATGCTCTTCTAAACTGATTTCATTCATGAGAGATAAGAAGAAAAATCACCTTTATAACCGACTCGAAGAAACCTCCTCTTTCAATGACGGGAGTTACATGTGGTCGATCCAGAAGATCCTCCAAACTATCAATCCTGTCTGTGGCTTTTCTCAACGTTAGTTTTGAAATTAACTGTCCACTGAATGCTGTCATGGTTACAAAACAACCAATTAACCAAACCGCGATCAGAAGCCGTTGTGAGGAACGGGAAGGTACGTTTTCAAAACCTGTTGGTATGTAAAGAAATGCAAGTTACTGACACTGTAGAAATGTGAGTTACTGACACTGTAGAAATATAAGTTACTGACACTGTAGAATGTAAGTTACTGACACTGTAGAAATGTGAGTTACTGACACTGTAGAAATGTAAGTTACTGACACTATAGAAATGTAAGTTACTGATACTGTAAAAATGTAGGTTACTGACACTGTAGAAATGTGAGTTACTGACACTGTAGAATGTAAGTTACTGACACTGTAGAAATGTGAGTTACTGACACTGTAAAAATGTGAGTTACTGACACTGTAGAAATGTAAGTTACTGACACTGTAGAAATGTAAGTTACTGACACTGTAGAATGTAAGTTACTGACACTGTAGAAATGTGAGTTACTGACACTGTAGAAATGTAAGTTACTGACACTGAAAAATGTAAGTTACTGACACTGTAGAAATGTAAGTTACGACACTGTAAAGATGTAAGTTACTGACACTGTAGAAATGTTTCAAGCGTAGGACAGTGTGGTATTATAAACCTCTGGAGAAAAATATTAACAAGCACTAAGCTATGTTTGCATATCAGTTACGTCCCCCAGTGGTACAGTAGTAAGTCTACATATTTCTAATGCTAAAATCAGAGAAACGCGGTTTCGATACCCGTGGTGGGCAGAGCACAGATAGCCCATTATGTAGCTTTGTGCTTAACAGCATCAACACACAAAAATTACCGGAGGGCCACCTACTCATAGTCGTCCCTTATTTCTAACTTTCTCACAAACGTTAGTGTTTAACAGCGCCCACCACCAACCCTTGGGCTACTCTAATTGAATATTGTGGTTTGTGTGGCACAAAATACAGAGCACGATTTTTTTTTCGGCAATAAAACGAAAATGATAAACCCTCAGACCCCTCTGTGATGCACAACAACCACTGGGCTACCAACCCGGTCCAATGAGCATTTAGATCAGTTTAAACATGTGCAACTCAACTTCTATTAAAAATACAAATTCTTATTACTTCGTTGTAAATATTTCTGTCCTAAAATAAGAAATGATACAAGGCCAACAACTATTTCACAAGAAAGATTACAAAAGGCGGTAAAAATCATCTGAGCTTCTGATTAGAGTTGTACAAAACTCGATTACACTCTACTAGAAACTGTAATCAATTCTGCCTACAGATGTAAAACGTGTAAAAAGGTGTACCGTCTTAGTAACGCTACTGATGCTGGAGATCAGTGTATTACTTCTAATGTAGTTTACGAACTAAAATGTTGAGTTTGTTAAACTCGTGTTGCTATACGTTATAAACAGATGGACTGTCTTAGTAACGCTACTGATGCTGGAGATTAGTGTATTACTTCTAATGTAGTTTACAAACTGAAATGTTGAGTTTATTAAACTCGTGTTGCTATACGTTATAAACAGATGTACTGTCTCAGTAACGCT